ATCGCAATTTAATTTATTCTCAAGTTTGAAAAGTGTCTCGTACCCAACGTTGTCCGTATTACAACCCATCTTGCACTCATTGCAAATCACAACTTAAATTATTCTCAACGTTGACCTTTATTATTATTTTTATGTATTTATATACTTATATGTATACTATAAAACCTAAGTCATGAAACCGACTCGTGCAATAATTTATGTAGCAGAGAAATGTATGAAAATTTCCTGAACTTCGTATAGCGCTGTGCGCCGTCAGCCATGACAGTGACGTAATTGTTCGAGAAGCTGCTGTTGAGTTCTAAAATTTTCTCTAGTTGCTTTGCAGATAGTTGAGTTTTAATTATCTTAATTAAAGGAGGTAGTTGAGTTTTAATTATCTTAATTTGGAGTGAACATTATTATTGCCTTATTTTAGTTATTGTGCATTCTCTGGAGTTGTACTTTTTAATACTTTTTTAATTTAATACTTTTCCCAAAGTATTAAGATATCCTGTATTATTTGGTAAGTTAGAATTAACTTTTTCGTAAATTATAATTGAGAATATATTTTAATAGTGTCTGCCTTTTCCATTTTCTCCATTCGTTTTTTGTTGCTTTTTATTTGAAATATAGTAACAATAACAGTTCAATTGAAAATTTGATAACAGTTTCTTTAATTTGTTCCGTAGTTAATATTGACGTTAAGGCCTTTCCTATTTCATTGCAGAGTAGACAACATGTCGTTCGAGAGCAGCTCTTCTAATAAGGAAAAGAACAAGGAAATCTGGACATATAACATAGTCCAGTTTCAAGCCCCATCAAGAAGAGGCATCGTACCAATTTATTTCAAAGTATTGACTTTAGAGCGACCGAAGTCATCCCTGAAAAACCACGTCATTGGACGCTTCAAATTTTTAAATCCACTGCCAAAGAACGGAGAGAGAGAGGAATGGTTTAGTTGCAGGAGAGCTTAAATACCTATGGAGCAAAATTTTGCATTCCCCTCATGTATCTGATCAAGCTATTTGCGCAAAATTTCTGGAAGACTATGAGCGCTGCAGAAAAAAAACTTTGATTCATTGAATGAACTGCTTGACATGACCAAGATGAAAGATGAATGGTTGTGCAAAGAGGATAAGAACCTTTACAAACTGCAAATGGAGAGCGGATATCACGTTGGTTATTCGACTGGCAAAGCCTCTAGTGCCAATACTGTCCACCCATTCAAGGGAAAGTGGGCAATGGAAGCGACTGTGTCCACAGACTCCACACTTACTCCATCATTGAACAAAAGGAAGCATTGCTCAACAAGCATTGCAAGACGTCTTGTTACACGCTCAAAGCTGTCGTCCCACAGAGCAGCGGTGGAGTGCCGCCAGCTTTGAAATCCCGACCCGCATGTCAATCAGAAATCCACAAGGCCATCTACACTAGAGCAGCTCAAGTGCACCGCCACAATTGGTGAGCACGCTTCATCTGAATAAGTGAAACATACACTGCGACGGCAAACGAACTGAAGGCGTCGCATGTCAAAAATGAATCTGAAGAAATTCAGTCGACCGCGCTAAAATTTATACATGGGAAAGCTCAAACAATCGCAAAAGGACTCCGCCATGTGTTAGAATGGTTCAAACTGTGGTGATCAGTTGGCATGACAGTTGCCGACAGAACAAGCGTGAACTTCTTATTACTCAGTTGTAATTGAGCCTTGCATGCTTCACGATTGTTTTCATCGAAACCAATTATAAGCGCATATATGTTGACTGAAATAAAGTCCAATGTTTAATTGAGGGCATAATTGGGTTGTTCATTTGCTCGAGCTCTGCGACATTCGCGATCATCAGCTTCAATTATATGGATGGGATTATGAGACTTAATTTGAGCTGTGATATTACGGAGAGTTTTACTGCTTTTTATTTTGGTGCTTGGTTTACTTAACTTATTAGGAGAATACGTAAACGTGGTTCTTGAGCAGAAAAGATTTATATTTTTTCATTTCCTTATTGGCGAAAATTTCTGGGTTCCAAATAATTTTGCTCGGAATTTTCCTGGTCTGAATGACTTTGGGAAAGGAACAGTAAAATATTCAAATGTCCTGCATGTGTCAGCCTCCAACTCCTGTCTTTCAACCTCCCCCTCACTTCCTGGACGGTTCCTGAAATTGGATCGTCCGTAACGTATAATGGGAGTGAAATGGGAAAGACAGTTTGAGTACAGCCAAATTTTAAGTCGTGCGGTATAGTCGAATGAAAACACATGAATTTTGGAGGAATGTACTGAAATAAATTAAGTACTGTGAATGTACTGTGATGCATTGATTTTAAAATGTTAGCCTCCACAAACGGTGTTCCTGATCTGCGAATTTTAGAGTCCTTTAAACAAAAGCCCAGTCTAAATACCGCCTACCGTTCATACTCCTTCGAAATAGTAGTAGATAGGTTTGTCTGCTCATGTTTACCTCATTCTGATTTGTTATCACATGGCAATTTACGTTTTAATATCATAAATATGAATTTTAGTTTACTAATTGTTTGCACTTGTGTTCTTGGTTTTTGAACTGACGATGGAGCTGGACTCCGAAACTTTTTCTTTCATAAGAAATGGTGAACTTTATGGCTGCTTTATTTGATTATAAATTCCTGGTAAATTCGAGATTTAAGCAATCAATTGATCTTTAAACTGAAAATGGAATTTGTCTACCCCAAAATGGTGATTATCGCACCTTATGATTTTTCCTCATTTATTCGTCCAACATATATTTTTCGCAATTTTCAATTTAATTTAATATAATCTTAAATCATTATTTATGACTGAAAAATTAAATTTTACTTCTCTGAAAATAGTAAAACGATATTTAAATATTTGAGTCTCAAACACTTTACAGTACCTGTAGAGACAAGAATTGTACCGATTTAAATTTAATAAATATATATGTATTTATACATTTATATATTTTCCAATGAACATTTTATCAAGATAAAAAATATTTTTTTATCTTCAAAACTTGAAAATGAATTTTCTAACAGAATTGCCTTCTTCACTTATCTCTCTGTTTTTTTACATAAGTTCTCAAACAGCGGTTTTTTAGATTTTCATATTTAGATTTTTCATGGTTTCAGCGTTCATTGGGCCGTAGGCCTATAGCCAATTCTTAATATCACAGAACAATCACAGCTTGTTGCGGTCTCGAACACGCAATTCACTTTTCCAGTCTGGAGCAGTGAACAAGTAGTGCAAGAAGTTATCGACAATCAAATAGTGCAAGAAGAAATAGTGACCGAACAAATAGTGCAAGAAGTTCTCGACAATCCACTAATTGTAAGCCAAACAACTATAGTTCAGCGTAATCTTTGCTATGATGAACGTTGCCACATCGATATTTACCAAAGCATTGGAAAATGGACGAAAAATTAATGACGATACTTTCGGTTGTGAGAATTGATAACGTGTTTCACTCAAAGCAACTTCAAGAACTTACAGTCATAGAGGAGATACTAACATACAGCAGCGTACATAGCCTGTACAGTAGTGCACTCGATTGTAGCAAACAGCGCGAAGTTCTTATATAGGGAGATCATATTAAAGGGAGATTATATTAAACTCACCTCATCTGCAGCTCGGTGGAAGAACGACGCGCCCCTCGCCCACGAATCAAACCTCGGTCTAGAAGGTTTTTAGTCAGAGCCTCATCGCAGCGCACTACGCCGACATGTATACCTCCCAATAATTGTTTGCAGGTCGTGCAAGTCGATGGTTCAATTATTTATCCACTATTGATTGTCTTCTTTGATATCATCTCCTTAATATGTTAAAAATTAATTTATGGAAAGTGATATATTATTCATTTATGAAGATATCACTAATGGAAAGTACACAAAAAGCTTAAAAGTTTGATTCGTAGATTATTAACTCAAACACGAAATTTAGTTAAAAAAATCGAAATTTGAAAGTTGGCTTCTTGGATATAATAGGTTATTCAAGATTTTTGATCGATTGAAACATAACAGTGAACATTAAATATTATGGTAATCATCAAAGATTCTATACGAAAAATGTGTGGAAAAATATTTTTGGTCTATTTAAACGAGTATCATCAATACTAATCGTGTTACGACATTACCTGGATCTTAAGTTTCATTTTTCGTTTGGAATTCCGAGGCTTTGCAAGACAGAAAGGTGATCAGGAATGAATTGTTCATCATCTGTTTAATTAGTACATTGAATTTACCTACCAGATAATGCTAAAAAGTGTTAGTTCTTTTAATACTGGAGATTAGTTTAACCGGCATTTTACCTTAAATAAAGCTGAAAACAATCGTTCTTCCTATTAACATTATTTTAGTTCGAACATGAACAGCGGGATTTGGGACAACGAGCTTTGGCACGACGGATTTTCAAATTTCAGAGTTGTCTTCAGCCTATGGTACATGGATGTTTGAAAAGATTTTTTAGTGAAAATAATTTTAGCTGCGAGTTTTTACGCGATTTCGGGAAAAGTATTTGATAAGTGAACTCACATGAATCATCAGTTTTAGGCTTAGTGTTTATCTGTGCGTTTGAAGCTTCCCTTGGCAGCAAGTTAAACAGAACATAACAGCAAGGTGAATGTTATCTTGAGAAATATAATTTAAACACAGAGGCTAAATATTCCAAGCCATAATATTGTACATGAACTTTAACTTTCACACAGAAAGAAAATAAAAGGGTCAAATGCAATTTTATTTTCCATTGACCAACATCAGAAGCATAATATTTTCATTTGATATCTTATCTGCATTCATAAGCATTTTCGACCATCGAAAAGAAACCAAATGAACCTGCTATGGTTGAACGTCATTCTCTATTGTGCCTTGGTCCATTCGTTTGCCGCGTCGCTCAGGGTGAGCAGAAAAATGTTCGGCACGAAAATAAAAAATAGTACATCGTCCATAGACAGAAGCAGAGAGAATATTTCAATACAACGGTATTTTACCAATGAAAACGCTGAAAATAACGAAATGGGATCAAAAGACCGTAACATAAATGACAGCAATGGAAATAATTGGTTTCCTAATGGCAAGAGGCAACGGTCGCACCGGCAGCCAGGCAGGCTAAGCTTTTTACCGGACCACTGGCGGAAACTGATCGGTGAGAGCCATAATAGCCAGAGTAACCAAGATATAAAAACTAATTATGATGATTATCATAACTAAATAACCATGACATAATAAATTATATATAGTTATCACCACTTAATTTCAGTGGCGGCTAATGACTGGGTAATTTCAGACGACCGCTATCTACGTCCACTTGATGAGACCACTGAGGCACATTCGCGAGGTGAGTAGCATAGTTAAGTCTGAAAATAGAGCATTCTTACAAGTGGCTTATTCTCAAACAAATGAAATATCCACTGGATACAAGGCCAAAAAAGTCCTACTCGTCTCCAATAACCTGGGTCCTGGTTTCGAGTCTGGTTGTTCGTTGATATAGATCGGGTGATGCATTTGAGACGTATTATTTTGAAGTTATGAACAGTCTCTGGATCGTAATTACAGGATACTGTTTAAAGAAACCATTTCAATCATAGATACTTTATTTGAGGAGGTGGAGTTTTCAAAAATGATGGTTGAGTAATTAACACTTGATATTAAATCACTCTCAGGTAAATAATGCGTAGCAATCTTTCTTATACATAATATTTGGTTTGGTTCACTTAATTGGGGAAGAATCAGTGTCAAAACTTCTGGTTTGTGGTAGAATAAGTGACGGGCTCATTTATTTAAAGAAACCATTGCATTATGATACTGTTCATAGTGTTTTTCTAATAGATTGCTAGACCGAAATAATAAATAGACGAGTATGACAACATTACCAAAATCACCTTAATTACCCAGACGTAAATAGAAATTTGGTGTTTGATCGAAAAATGTTGCCAATCGTGTGAAATAAATTGAATAAAAAGAGAAAATCATTGCGTTTAGAAAACTTCAGAGAAGAACATAAATTATAAACTAACAATTTATCGCAAAATTTCTCATGTGAATTATTATGTTCACATGGGAAATTTTAAAAGTCATAACGCTAACATAATACGAGTTGCTTCAATTTACAAACGGCATATTCTCACACATTTCTAAAAGTCTACAACATTTCTCTTGTTGTACCGTAGTTGTTGTTCTAAAGTCTAAACATTGGGATACCAAAATTACGAAACTGTTAACATAGATAAGATCAAACTGACGCCTATAAAATAAAGGAATCAATTCTCAGAAAGTCTCAGAGACGTTAGTCGTGATGTGACACAAATTATGATGCCTTCATTTATATACGAGGTTGGCCATACATGAATAGCAGTGTGAGTTTTGATTTGTTTGCAATTTTAGAATATGTAAATTCTATTTTATATTCGATGTTTTGGTAATCAAATGGATTTTTAGTGAGCTCTAAATTTTCGAGTGCAACGCGTTTTCGTAGCCAGTTTACCGCCAGTAACTTTTCTTTCGACTCGAAATAGATTTTCACGATGGCAAGATGGAAAATTTGTAAATCTGAGGGCGAAAATTTAACAATGAAAGCGACGGTGAAACATTCGATAGTCAACTTTTGGGGAGCTTGAAGATTTGAGTGAAATAAAGGAAATAATTGTATAAATCAGTTTCGTATCCTTGACGACTGATTAATTATTATATTAGGATCTTTTGGAGTCAGTTCATGCAGAAGAGTTTAACTTTTTGCGAACACCGTTATTGCGAATTCAGGCCTTGTAGATCCTGCAGAACTATTCAAGATTTAACAAGCATGTTTGAACTTTCTTCACAAGACTGCATTGGGCCATTTTGCATTTTCCCGGTCGTTAAACGGAGGCATCATGCATTTTTAAGTTGCTTGTAAAGAATCCCTGGTAGACACGTTGGCTTGGTTCTGTTCTAACCGTTGAGGCTAGAGGTTCTTTGTGCTGAGCTCCCGTGACAGTAGTCGGCTTCGGCCGGCTGCTACGTCATCTTTCTGGAACTATCTTCCTCGAACTTTGAAAATGCCGTGCTGTCCCGCTCCGAGTGGGTCTATCTGCCCTGGAGTGGGGCTTTCTGCCCTGGAGTGGGGCTATCTGCCCACGAGTGGGGCTATCTGCCCTGGAGTGGGGCTATCTGCCCTGGAGTGGGGCTATCTGCCCTGGAGTGGTGCTCTCCGCCCCGGTGTGGTCTCCCCTTTGGTGGCCCCGTTCTGCAACCCTTCAGCCATTGAGAAATCTTGAGTTTTTTTTCAAGACACCCAATTTTGTACCTGAAAACAAAATTCAGTCAAATTCCTTGAACTGTTCTGACGTGGGGCCGCATTGAACAAGTCTTCAGAGGCTCCCATAAACTCCAACTGAATAAAAAAAAGAAGACTCGTTGGCTTGAAGATGAACAGTGAAGAAGACACTATTTCTTAACACTATATTTACCGGTTTCCGGAGCAAAACAAAATGTATATGTATATATGTGTAGTAGAACAAAACCAGAAATGTAAGTAATGACAATTTTACTTAGTAAAGTATAGTATAGTATTTTCGGCATTAAATAAATAGGCCTGGATAGGCCTGTCGCCGATTCTTGTACTTTTCTTGACTTTCTTGTACTTTTCTTTCTTAAATTAAGTCAGCCATAAACAAATTACTAGAGCTTAGACATAAAAAAACAACTCTAATGGCAGACAAATATCACTATAGGTTACAGATTGCGCATGGATAGGCAAACTCTTGCTTTGAAGTCAGTTTACAAGAAATGTGGATGGTTGCTTCTTACACTGCCCTTGATGCTCAATATTATTGAGCAGTATTTTGACTTGTGCTAAAATATTGTGCATCAAAAGGCAGCATAGACGAGCTGTGAAATATATGGTAACATTTTCAAAATTATGGAAATGTACTACTCAAATGGGAATATCTTGTGCCACGTAGTAGCTGCATTGCGCAACATTCTCGCAGTGCGTCGCGTTCATAGCGGTCGTTCGATGTAGTTGTGTCACGTGTGCGTATCATGGCGAACAAAAATAACTAAATCCGACTTCTTCTGGACCATACTGAGTTTAATCGTGGTCTCTCAGGTTTATGGAATGCAAATGTTAGCTAATATTTCGAAAAGGTGGGAGCAGTACGTGTTACCGATTAAGAAGTGATCTCCGTACTTTTATTAATTTTTAGTGTGTAAACTTCACCCAGTCAATCAACCGGTGCACCGGTATGCACCATTGTAGCTTTGTGCGAACATTTCTCTTTCATATGTTCAGACTTGCAACCACATCAATAATTACACAATACAGCATTCTGTTTCCCCCTACAGGGTGACTTCATGAAATTCTGCTGTGAACGATTGAGAAATCGTCCAAGATATTTTTTATAGATTTTTATTATTGTTGTTTTCATTTCTTTATCAGGGTAGCAAATTGTGCATATTCGCGTTGATGAACTCCCGGTGAGGCCGGTTGCATCACATAGACTTCCGACCTTCTCTGCTTCAGAAAGAAGTGACGAGGGCCGTTGAGTTTGTCGCTAAGGGAGTTGTGTCCTGCGAGCCGATCAGCAACAGTTATTTGTTTGGGCCAATATTGTGGCAGCTACTGACTAATTGTGCTGATACGGTTTCTGCTCGTGTTTCCGCAGTGTGCCCTCTCCCTTACTGGACTGTACAGGGTCATCAATATTTAGCGTTACATTGTTTTTTCAAAATCAATACACTCGCAAAACAGTCAAATGTGTCGTATGGAACCATGTCGACTGTTCTCCGGAAGGACCTAAAGTTGTCCCCCATTCAGGCAGGTCAAAAAACACCAACTGTCTGCTCAAGTTGTTGACAAACGCCTCCAAAGTTCCAAGATTCTTCTTTCCCGCATTCATGATGGCACGTTGCCAAACCTCGTTTTCAGTGATGAGAAGACATTCAATCTTGAACACCACTTCAACTCCCAAAATGATAGAATTTGGTCGAAGAATGGGACGAAGGATCCCGTGCGGTGACTAGGAAGCAATGCCCGACCTCAATGATGGTCTGGGCAGCCGTAACAGAGTCCTCAAGGACTCCCCTCTTTTTTGATGACAAAGGGATGAAATTGAATTGAAGAACTATCGAGATGTCATCCTTGTTGGTGCATTGTTGCCCTGGGCACGGAAGCACTTCAAAAAACGCCCCTGGTTGTTCCAGCAGGACTCTGCACCATCCCATGGGGCCAAATCGACTCAGGAGTGGCTGTCCGAGAATGTTCCCCACTTCATTACCAAAGATGAATGGCCCCCATCGTCACCCGATCTGAATCCTCTGGATTTTGGGATCTGGTCATACATTGAGAGCAAGGTCTCGACCGTTCACCATAGCAGTTTGGACGCCCTAGAGGTCAAACTGCTGAAGGAGTGGGCCAAAATCCCGCAGAGTGTCATTCGTGACTCGTGTAAGGCTTTCTCTAAGCGTCTACAACTCGTTATTGATGCAGATGGTGGACATATTGAATTAAATTGTGGGAATTGTATCTCTGAACTTCTGCCTACATAAATACATTTTCAAACATTCACAATTGTTTCATTTCATAGTTCTAACCACTCAAAGTTGTAACGCTAAATATTGATGACCGTGTATGTACTAGCCACCTGCTTTGTCACTTCGTTAAACTAGTATATCTGTTAAGTTCCTGATTTCAAAGTGCCCTAGTGTGTGTCAAATAAAAGTGTTTTAAATCACAGTGGTGACTGGAAAACTGTGTTTTGTTACACCAATAGTTATAAGAGAACTACTAGATTTAACGTTCGTGGATGACGTTCCGCCCTTTTTTGTGGTGGCCATCTTTGACGTTTGGAACGTCCGGTCACACTGCCTATGGCAGTTAGCGTAATATGATAGTACATATGGGGGCACTCTTGCATTATATTGCGCAACCTCTCAATACGGCAATAAACGGTCAGTGTTATTGCGCAAAACCAAAATTTTGCGCAATGATGTTGAGCAACCTGAAGGCTGGAAGTAATATATTGTGCAATATTTTGTGTAATAATATGGAGCGTCCAGGGGCTAATTCATAATCTTAAACTTTGCATCGACCTCAGAGTTTTTAGTCCAGCTCTGTAATAGTTATGGCAAGGTCCTAACACCCGAAGTAAGAACAGCAGATTTTTCTTGAGAGTAATGAAGCTGAATTGGTAAATAGCATTATCAATAATGCGTACATAGCAATTTTTTCCTTTCGCAGAACAGAGAGATGAGGTTTTTGAAGTGCAAGTGGCAGCTGCGAGTGAAAGCCTCAAAGTTCTTGTGGACGATAAATTGGTAAGCTGAATTTGCAATATTATGGTTTCTTTAGCGTTCAACAAAATGGACATGGGTCCTTTGTGAGTATTAGACTATAATGTTATATAAGATAATTCGCATTAATTGTATCGTTTAGTTCATATAATATCAGTTTTTTTATTAAAAATTTCACTATCAAATTTCGTACTGGATGAACTTTGAACTTTTGTGCGCACTTTCGCAGGTACGCGGCACGTGTTTATGCAATTTCAATCATAGATAGTTTATTTGACCAGGTGGAACATCCAAAAGTTATGGCTGTGTAATTACCAGTTAATATTAACCCGGATCTCAGTTGGATAGTGCGTAGCAATCCTTCTCAGTATTTCCTTCTTAAAAATATTTTCCGTTAATAATATTTACCGCTTGAAATTTTTAATATTTTCGGTGCAATTGTTTCGTGGAGAAATAATTTGAAATCCTTCAATAATTTGAATAGATGTAATAAAAATGTGAATGCAGAAATAACTTGAAAAACTTGAATCACGAATTTTTCTATCGTAAAGCTCAAGTTGCTTATGTATTTAAAGAAATAATTATTCCCAATTAATATTATTGAGTAGATTTTAATATGATATCCAGTAATATCACAAGAAATGTCAGGTTTACAGAACGCAGGGCCACGTAATTGACGGCATTCACATGTTGGTGATGTCAGGAGACGGTGAAGTGATGCTTCGCCGAGACTTCCACACGGGGCATCCAGCGGAAACAGAACTGCTGGGACAGACTCTGGTCAACCTGCAGCCTGGAGCTCTGGTTATCTTAGTTTTGATGGTGAGTGTTTTGTTCGACCCCCGGACACTCGAGTGTTGGGCCCAAACTTGACCAACCTGTAACCCGAGGCTCCCATCAGTCCAGCTAGGGCATGATGATGAGTACGTCGGCTTGCCCTTGTGGAGTGAACTGCTGATGTTCTAGCATGCCAAAAAAAACTTATAATCTTATGTGCAATTGTCGCTCATCTCGAAGTGTGACATTATTATCACTTCTTATATTATCAGAGGCAACAACGGATGTTATCCATTAAGCCTTATCTAAATTTGAGCCCTGATTCGTGCAGTTCAGCGCCGGGGACTTCCTAAGAAGTACAGAGCGCATGCTGCTCCAGTACCTAGGGATGAAGGGGAACACTGTGGGAGGAGCCCTCAAATTAGGTGAATTTTTGTTGTTGTTTGTCTTACATTAATTTTTATTGAAAGAGTGCATCTCTGCATTCATTTTTATATTGATTCCTGAGCCTACTTGCCCACTTACAAGTGTATAGGAATTTGATGGTTTTATCTTGGTTTTATGAAAATTTAACTTTATCAATGTTGACCCGTACATTATGGATTTTATCGCTTGATTGTTAATTGAATTGTCAATTGCTTTAATTCTGTCAGGTTTTGGTTGCCGAAGTGGCTCACTAGGAGCGTGAAAAGGTTCTCGACTTAGCTTGGCAGTTATCGAACTAACAAGAAAAGAAAAGAAATGACAAGACATCAATATCTTAACACTTATACACTTGAAAAAAAAATAAACTATCCTAATACAGAGCTGTGACACGATGATCATGATCCCACCTAATTATCTGAGCGCTGTCTAGCACAATTTTGGAACAAGCACCTAACCGAAACAAAGCTATTCTTTCACAGGGCTGTTCCGTTTTTATTCAATCGACTTTTTACGGCCATGGAATAATCAAAAGCATGGCACTGAAACGACCTACAACCTAAGCTGACACCTAGGGAAATGGCACGACCTACAGAAATGAACACGATAATATCAGATAGATTTCTAACCCAATAACGGCTCTGTCCCATAACATTCCCAACTAGTACATCACCGGCAATGTGACGGAGGCGTGCGTTAGAAGGCTTCTCCAATAATCTCCGTGTCTTACTCCGTCGCAATCCGGCCGTAGTTGGAACTGGTCCGCGGAGGTATTCCTAACGCGTCTGGCTGGTGCAGATCCTCGATTAGCTTCGTCGACTAAACTTATCTTCAATTTTCGGGAAAAATCGGCCCACGCGTCGACGACTAATCTTATCTTCAATTATCGGGAAAAATCGGACCACACATCGACGAATCGTATCTTCAATTCTCGGGAAAAATCGTCCCACTCGTCGACGACTAATCTTATCTTCAATTATCGGGAAAAATCGGTCCACACATCGACGAATCTTATCTTCAATTCTCGGAAAAAATCGGCCCACTCGGCGATGACTAATCTAATCTTCAATTCTCGCGAAAAATCGGTCCACTCATCGACGAATCTTATCTTCAATTCTCGGGGAAAACAGGCCCACTCGTCGACGAATCTTATCTTCAATTCTCGGGGAAAATCTTATCTTCAATTCGCACTGCTCCGCGAATAGTTAAGTTGCACACCGAACACTCCACGTCTACAAACCGCCGTGCGTTTACCTAACTTCTACTTGCACGAGACAACTCCGCGTGCCTCGCCTCCGTATTCAACTGACTGCCGCAGCCAGAGTTCGACGTCCTGCTTAAATACCCGCAGGCCGCAACCCGCAACATCCACCTTACCCTAAACGCCCTACAGTTATCTGCCCTATACCACATAATCATATCATCCTATAATCACATCAAATTATCACATCCTATAATCACATCCAATTATCACATCCTATAATCACTAGTCTGAACACTTGTTTCATCTTCGTCGCCATATATCCAGTGCAACTCATCTCATCCATTTTCCTACAGGCGCTGACTGGGCTCAGGGGATAGGCTCGTCGCCATATCTTATCGACCCCGCACAGCTTAAGCAAAAAGCAGCAGCCGTACAAACAAGGAACAGGACTACGTCTTACGACGTGCTTGTAATCACTCCTGAAGGAAGAGAAGTGAGGAAAAAGCTACGAGGTCAGCAACAAAACTTCATATCGTATAATGGGTACATTGATACCGACGACCCATCTATACTGATCACTGTTGTTCCCGACAACTGGCCACCACAAAATGCAGAGGTAACTCCTCTGTGATTTCTTAGGTTGATTAACGCCTAAGATTGTTATTCTCTGAGATTTTTATACTTTGCATGGTAATAAATTACGTTACTTATTCGTATTTGCAAGATTTTCATCAGATCATACATAAGCGTTCTTAATATTTCTTATTGTCATAAAAATTACGCTTTCATAACGCTTACACATTTTCTAAATTAATGTTAAGATAGTCTCAATGTTTATCGTCATGACCGGCTGCAGTATGAGTGTTCTGGATGTAATCGCATTGGTGATATGGTTGTTGTGTCTTTATTGGATGTGTATTTGGTGTATAAGCTACTAACTTTTGCACAGGAGGAGTTTGTAGCGCGCGCATACCTAGAAGCAGCAGTGATTTTCAAAGGAAACAAGAATTTGCAGTCTAACATGGACGCTTCCTTGCTAATACCAAGAGGTAGAAGTATGTATCACAGCAGCTCAAACATCTATAGTTTTTTTCATGAAGATATTAGGAATAAAAATCTGAATTTTCAAAATATACTATGCAATGATTTTTTTGTGCCATATAACATACATGAACTCCTGTGTAGGATCAGAATGTGACTGGCATTATGACGCCAGACGACAGAAGCAGGCGGAGTTTTGTCGCCGCTACGAAGGGTACGGGACTTTGTGCCGTTGCAGAGACCCTCTAGATCCCCTTCGACTACGAAATTCATCGGTGCTTCTTGTTTAAAAATAATTCCTGCCAATTTTAGGTCCATACTGCACTTAGGCTGTATAAAATATTGGATTTTAATCTCTCAGGATATTCAATATCAGTTAAAATTTTGCATTGAGTACTCATAACAATCTCGTGCTAGTTCATGCGAATTATATGTTAACATTATCCTAAACTAACTTAAACTGAACAAAGTCTTTACCTGTAGCTAAAAGCGACTCCTACACTCTCAGGTCCACATCCAAATGTCGGAAGTAATCCCCATCGCCATACTCACCGCCACCAAGTGCCACTTTTTCTACCGGTATGTGATCTCGTTCATCTCCAAGTTCATTTTTCTGCCTGTTCACAGGAATTGTAACTAGCGGTCGTTAATTATGGGTGATAACTAATAAAGTTAATGATTTGTTTTTCAGGCAACTGATAAGTCTCCTTTTGGCAAACGGTGCAGCACAAACAGATATTTTGGTTCTCACCGACGGGCACCAGGAAGAAACTTCACAGCTAGCCTCCATCTTTGGGTCAGTTATTCTTTAGTTTCTATTTTTGTCAACTGATCCTGTAGAAACATTTCTTTAGAAATTTGATACAATTAAATTGTTCGTGAAAACATTTATATTACTATTTTGTTCAAATTATTTTATACATGGCCTTACTATAGTGCGTTACTTAATTTGACTGTCATCAATAAAGTCATGACTAGTCCTGAATTTTTCATGGCTATATTTTCTATTAATTATTTTCCATGAAGTGAGAATTCACAGCTATCAAGATAATCATGCACATAGCTCATGTAATTTAATGAGGTAACTCAGTTGTAGGTGAGTTTGCTAAGTTCTGTGGTGTTTTCTTCAGTTATTTTCACATCTATTTAGTGACACTATACACTGACAGAAAATTGACCGCTGTTTTGAGACACTAGGTGTCTCAAGGCCTCTCCGATCGAGCGTGCCGAAAGCGGGACACCTACGGCCGCCCAAGTGTCTCAAAAACGTCCAAGTGTCTAAAAAAAATTCATTTTCTTAATAAATCTACGGTAATCACAACCACTCTTTCAGTAGTATTACAATATGGTCGTAGCGTACAAATCCTTTCTACATTTATCAGCGCAGACTGATAAATGCTAACTGAGGTTCTACTGTAAATCCAATTTTAGGGGTGTCACTGTGCCTTATTACCCCAGAGCCAGGGGGTGTCCCTTATTTCCCCGTCGTGTGGAAATGCCCATCATTTTTTTCAATGAGCTAGCCTATGAGTAGATAGCAAAAGGAGCCTATCGTCACACTTTCCATAAACAGCTTAAATCATAGGTTACCACAACCATTTACCCCAAATCTTACCCAACAAAATTAACCAATTACCTTCAATATTATTACGAA